AGAGATTTGCCTCCCCCGCCCCATTCCTACAGGGGCGCTTTATTGAACTCTGCAGTGGACTTCTCCATGTTCAGCTGAATTTTTCACTGATAATTTATTGCAGGGGAGAGACTTCTAAACTCCCATTGTTAAAATCGGCATGAATCCAGAAATAAAATCTGCTTCAAAATTTTAATTTTTTAAGCCCCTGAATTGTGAATAGGCATTATAGTTGTCCACCTAAAACACTGGCATGTGCGCTATCCTTGTGCAACTAACCCATTTGATCATGGTTTCTGTCTCTCTGAAGCCTTGGTTTGTTCTTTTTCTTTTTCACCTCCTCTTCCTCTTCTGTAACCCCTTCTTTTTTTCCTCTAGCACTCATGAATAGTGCACATCAAAAATGCCCCGTGGAAGAGGTATGTCTGACACAGCACTATGTGATTCTTAAATCAAGTATGCTTTGCTGGTTTCAGCTTTGATTCTGTGATGGCACAGGAACAGCACAGTTGTCAGCTTTTGCACAATAAGACTCTACTGCTTCCTAAATTGCACTTGCTACGCAAAAGTTTGTTCCTCAGCTAACTTACTTTTTTCTCAATCGAAATATAAAAAATAATGTGGCCATTGAAAAAAATTATTTGAATATAAATATGGCAAAAATAGAAAAATGAAGAGGTCAGGATTTATTTATTTTATTTAACTTAAAACACAGTGATTTGAAAAAAAGAAAAGGTTGGTGACTTAATCTGCAAGTGATTATGTTTTGGTAAATTTCTGTCTTAAGGATACAGGATGAGAAAATAACAATTTTTTTTTTTAACATAAGGAAAATGAAAAAGGAGTTTTTTAAATTTTGTGCCTTTTCTTTCTTGAAAAGTCTTCCCCACCCCCCCTAAAAAGAGATACAAGAATACATCTTAGAAAAGAGCTATCAAAAGCAAAGCCAAACATGTTTAGTGCTTCTCTGTATTTCATTGATAGACTGTTTTAACTAATGAAAAAAAACCAAGTTCCAACTATAGGATCACCACAACAGACAAGGCAGAACACATTGCGAGGAAGAAGGAAGGAGATGGGACCTTCTCTTTTGGTGGTAACTCAGATGTATAGAATGACTTAAACTGGTTATGAAACTGCACCCTCAACCTTTTAAAAACATCTCCTCATATTTAATGCAAATAATTTTTATTTGAACATGGCCATTCTTAAAATCTGGAATTCATGGTCTGATGCTGTATACTCTTGGTTTCATTTATGGTGGATTGGTAAGGGATATACTCTTACGCTTATCTTATCGCTGTGGCAGTATATTTTAACCTCTAAAAATTTTTGTTTATTTGATTTAAATAGCTTCTCGGACCTCTAGCCACAGTGAGCAGCAGAGGGATAGAAGGTATGATGCAGTTATTTATATTATAATTATATGCTGTTGGAAAGCTTATTAGATTGTGTCACAATATTACTTTTTATGGCTTTCTCCTCCAATTCATTTTTTGCCATCGCACTTTCCTTTTGGTTTTAAAAATAAATTAGACCTGGAATAAAACAGAAATGTTGTGGTTCTTAAGCATGGGGTGGAATAAGGGTTTGAGGAGTTTTCTGGTCAAGTTTTGCATGTGTCTTAAAACTATAATTTAAAAAAATGCAACCAACCAACCATCTCTTTAGAACCCTTTTACTTTCCTGACATCTATTTATGGGATCAGTTGGCAATGTAAATAAATACACACATTCAAGCCTCCTTCCAGTTTTTCAAAGGTTTTTGAGAAAGGAGGTCACCAACCTGGATAGCTGGTGAACTGAGTCTGTCATAATTTTGGGAGTAAATGAGCTGTATCCCTCTCACTTTGTAAAAACAGTTCTAAAAGTTATATTTCCGCACTGTTTTCCTGTTGGCAGATAGAGGCTTCTGTAGCAGATGCTTCATCTACTCACAAAACTCACTTCTCAAAATGTATTTTGTGGCAGATTTGAGAGATCAGTGGTGGTTTGCTCCCCGTGAAGTCTCGGGGTGGACGAGCTCTTACAGCCAGTGGCGGTCTTCACTACCCTGTTGTCTTTGCGTTGCAGCAGGCTAATGGGCAAGCACGTGATCAGTTCTCATTATCCCGTGAAGACTAAGACTTGCTCCATCTAATTGAGTTACGTCTGTATTTAAGTACTTTAAGCATGTAAATTATTTCACTGAAGCCAATAAACCTGCTTTTTGGCTTAGGCATTTAATTAGGTGCTTTGAATGGAAATAGAAGTGCTTGATAAAAAGGTCAGCTAAGTTGCTTTGAAATTGTGAAAGGTATCTTTGGCTAAGTCACGAAGGCGTGAGGTGTTCTGATTTCCCATCCTGAGAAAACGATGGTCTTCTGTATTTACAATAACTATTTTAAAACTTGTTGGTTAATTATTCCCCTTGCCTTAATCTCCAGGCGTCCTGAAATTACAATAGTTGCTGCTGAAC